CAGCCACTAACAATTAGAGAAGCCCCAGGCGGGACGGCGCGGCCACAATGCAACGCGATTCCAACACGGCCGCTGGTCCGCTGGTCCCCGCTGGTCTCAGTGCGGCGGGAGCGCCGAACCAAGAACGAAATACAAAGGAAAGAAGAAGGGCCGCGAGGGAGGCGAGCCCCTGACGCGCCTGAGCCTCAACCCGAACCTCACAAAATGACATAATGCGGTTCACCGATCGGATTTCGTTAGTGGCGCGTCGAAGCGTAAGTGCCATACTTGCCCCTCCCCCACCACTATTTCCTCGCCCTTTTTCCTTCCAACCGCAGCATCAATGCGGTCTACACCCACTCAATCTCGAGATGACAACCTCCCGGGAGGTCCTCCCCTACCTCCAGGACCCCGTCGTGCTCGTCTCGCTGATGCGCTGCGAGAGCTTGTCCAGGATGAAGAGGTTCATGTGGTTGTAGTAGCCCATCTCGTTGAGGGCGGCCGACGCGGACCGCGTCATGTTCTTCCTAGAAAGGGAGAGAGAGAGAATGGAGACGAAAGGTCAGTATGTGTGTAATAAACGCCCAAGGCAGGGCTGGACACCGCTCTCTACACTCACAGCTCGTTGTCGTCATCTTGTAAGAAGCGACGACGTTTAGTAAACTTCGGAGATTATTAGAATAAAGTAAAAAGAATGTGCCACGTGGTAATAATGTAAAATCAAAAACCAGTGCTATAAGTTTTCCGCTATAAGTTGTGAAATATTATCAGTGTGCTGATTTAACAAGTTCATAACAATTTGTTGGCAACTTGCAAAATGCACGAACATTAGCGGGGAGTGTAGTGGTTTGCGGAGGACACGAAGTGCGGCCATATGTACCACGACATGCTCACGACTTTGCTAATTTCAACATCACACCTAAACTTCATTCCCGACGTTCACTAAGTATAAAAGACAGTGCTATAGACGAGACGCAAACTGGTGTACGAAACAAGAAGCAATGTGTCCAAGACTTCCAGGACAGTATAAAACTAACGAGATTTAAGAGGAGACATAAAATAGTATGGAGCAAACAAGACACTACCAAGTGCACACTACTATCCATTCTGTAATAATTAAAAAAAAAACTGTCACGATATGAAAATGTCTTAGCTTTTTGTTTACAGCCATGTCATCACGGATTTCTTTGTCAACCCCATGTACTGGTAAAAGGTTACGTAAAAACCAAATCTGTGATGACATTGTAGTAAAACAAAAAGCCATAATTTTCACAGTTTTCAGACAAAGTTTTGTTTTAGTACTTGGGCGCCTTGGAAAATTTTGGTAGTTGTACTGTACCCCTATACAGCCTCTTTTCAGCATGCAACCCTGCGGGGTGGGTGGCTTTGCCGCTTTGCCCACCCCACTGCTGTTACTGGCCAAGGCGCCTTATGGCTCCAAGCGGGTAGGCAACGCGTCCACACTTATGCAAGCGGACAATGTGAGACAGTACAACTAAAAAGTTTCCCTGGGTCTGTCTGCGAGCCACCCTTTAATCGTGTACAGTTTACCGCGTCATGCGACGTACAAAACAACGATGGGAAAAATTGCGTGGAATCTTTCCGATAGCACACTTACGCTGTAAGGATTAATTCCTGGCGTTTCGAGCTGCAAAAGCCAAATCAATAAAAGGCTATTACCAAATTGTTTAGACGGTTCGTTACTCGGTGAGTTTTGAGGAAGCGGAATCTCTTCACTGCACATTTCAACGTCCCCGCCGTTGTTTGGTACAGATGGATGCTCCAAAAGGGCTCGTGTTTTCCTAAAACAGTCTCCTATATCCGGCCGCGTTGACTTTGCCCGTCGCTTTTTCCTCACGATTGTTGTCGCGGCTAATTAAATCATTAAATCCATTTCGATCCGGAAGTTGTGCGCGGAGCGGGAGCGCGCGAGAACTAGGCTGGCTGGTCGGGCGGCGCGTGCAGCCCCCCCCCCCTCCCCCCTGGCTGGTCGGGCGGCGCGTGCAGCCCCCCCCCCCTCTTCACCCCCTCCCTCTGTTGCGAGTACGCGCGCCACCCCTAGTCAGATATCACAGCGTCGGCGTCAACTTTTGGTCCAATTATTATTCTTGTTATTTTTCTTTTCGATTTATCGCTCCGTGATCTGCACCGGGATCATCAAGTACGCCAATAGCCCTGAGCCTGCGGTTAATGAAGGGATTATTGGGAGGACAGCCGCCCCTTAGGAAGGGGGGTGACGAAGGCAGGGTGACTGCGGACTGAGTGGATGGCTGCCTTGCCTTACCACAGACGTATGATTTCATGGCTATTAAATCAAGTTCTCCCCAATAAAACGCCCTCTATGACATTCTACGACAATTACAAAAAAACTTTTAGTGAAATAATTGCTTTTATTTTTACTTGCGCAGAAGAAGAACACCACTCCAAGACCAGAGAGAAATGAAAATCGGATAAGTTTGCTTGCGGCTTCATTCCAACAAAATCAATTACGAACAAAAAAAAATTATCCCCCCTCCTCCCTCTCCTTCACAAAAGAAGGGAAGGAGCGGGGGGTAGCGGCGAGAGGAGTTAACGATGAGGAAGAAAGGTTCCTGCCCCTCCTTTCCCTCCCCCTTAGACAGCCACTAACAATTAGAGAAGCCCCAGGCGGGACGGCGCGGCCACAATGCAACGCGATTCCAACACGGCCGCTGGTCCGCTGGTCCCCGCTGGTCTCAGTGCGGCGGGAGCGCCGAACCAAGAACGAAATACAAAGGAAAGAAGAAGGGCCGCGAGGGAGGCGAGCCCCTGACGCGCCTGAGCCTCAACCCGAACCTCACAAAATGACATAATGCGGTTCACCGATCGGATTTCGTTAGTGGCGCGTCGAAGCGTAAGTGCGAAAAGAGACAAGAGGGCCCTATCTGCTGCGAGAGAGATCTGCTGCTCAGAGAGAGAGACAGAGAGAGGAAGAAGAGCGAGCGAGTGAGTGAGAGAGGCAGAGAAATAGAGAGAGGGGAGGGAGGGAGAGAGAGAGAGAGAGAGAGAGAGAGAGAGAGAGAGAGACGGTTGGCTGCTGCAGCGCAGCCCCCCGTCACCTCTCTTCCACTCACGCTCTGCTCCACGATCCTCTTTCACCCTCACACTAATTTGGGGAGCCGCCGCGCCGACCCAGTGGGGAAGTGCGATATCGATTCGGTATCGCTCGTGAACTTGAATGCAGTACCTCCTGCCCTGCATTCCTACCGGGTGATTCAGAGAATCAGGTGCGAGCGG